AGGTTTTGAGGATGTGGTATTCAGTCATCTGTTGCTGTGGAGATAGGTGAGGAAACGGTGCGCCATGAACTAGAAGCTATGGAGACTCAGGCACCAGCACACACTGCATCTTCACCATGGAGATGGTGGAAGGAACATGGGCCCTTCTCAGAGCTACACTGGGAGGTTGAGATGCCCACCTATGCATTTTCTATGTGCTTTCATAATTATAAAACATTGCTGACCAAAAACTCATATATAGGTATCACTGGGAAGCAAGGTTCACACCATAAAGTAGTAACACCATGAAGAACCAGGAACACACTCTGATTTTTTGTGTCTCTCATGGAAGACTTTGGACAAGACACATAGGTCACTGTATAGCGTATAGGTACAGTTCATTGCCAAATGATAGATTTTTCAGAGCTAGAGAGAGAACACACCTTCAAGCATGAAAGTGGGCAGGTGCCAAGGTGGCAAATGCATTGAATATGGTCTCAGGTTATGTTTCTGTAATTAACTGGGTCTTTCAAGAAATAGTCTTTCCTACTTCAGAGGTTATTATTCTTTTAAAAGGAAAATGGGCTTTTTTGACCTAGTAGGTCCTGTGTTTTTCTTAGGTGAATGTTTACCACTCATTTTGTTTTGAGACCGTGAGATCTTTCCAGCCCCTCGCCTATGGTCTGGACTTTGTAGTGGCCTCGGGCCTTAAAAACATACTCAGAGGGTGTTACACTCTCTCAAGCGGAAGTGTGAGTCTATAAGCTTCTGTAACTGTTATCTATAGCTAGCGATTAAAAAAGCTTTTCAAATAGACCCCAGCTGCCTGTCTTCTGACCTGCTAATGTCTAACTAACATTCTAGGTCTAGTTTCAGAAAGTACACCCTGTCCCTTGGCCATGAAGTTATTTTCCTAAATTAGGTTATGAGTAGTGCATTAAATTGTTTTTGCATTTAGGTTTATAAACCACCATGAATTGATTTTGGTGTAATATGAAATCAGAGGTCAATTTAATTCCCCTCCATGGATATCCAATTTCTAGAACATTAATAGAAAAATCCTTCCCTTACACATTATCTTTCCTGTACATTTCTGACTTATCTTGAAACTCAAAGGGCTTCTGGGAAGACCAGAATGGTGGACCATGTCAAATGGGCTCATTTGGTGTATATGTACTGTTTATTAATTACATACTACAGGTGCTTTTGTGAAATGAGCAGAGTGCAGCTGACTTAAAGAAAGCCTTCTTGGGATGTTTGTTTGATCACCTCATAAACTTTTTTTTTGGTACGGGAGATCGAACTCAGGACCTTGCGCTTGCGAGGCAGGCGGCAGAACCACTGAGCTAAATCCCTGGCCCTATCTCATAAGCTTTTTATGTGACAAACACTTATAGAAATCTCAGCCCTTCACCTTGAAGGTGCAGTCCTCTCTTGGAACTTGTCCACTGCTCTCTCGCAGTGTTGCCAATAAACTCTTTACTTTCCTATACTTCTTGAACGTTTGGTACGTTTTTTGCTGCCTGTGGTACCAGCCTTCCACAAGCCACACCTCACATGGCAGTGGCCAGACTCCAAAAATGTTATTACATAGCAGGAAAGCATACTGCCAACAGCTTGTGCTTGGTGAGGAACCTGGCTATCTCTGCTTCTTTTATGGTAAGACCCCCAATTTTATTCCCCTGTACTTCAACTAGACATTCTTCAAACACCATACTGGAAAAGATGCCTTGATAACTCACCTGTGATCCGGCGATAGTTGACAGTAAAACTTTCACATTTACTTCTGTGCGGGCAATGGCCTCAAGCCATGGCCCATGATAGCAAGTGTCGACCTCCAAAACCAACTAATTACCATATGGTGTTTACTGCAATGGCAAGATTTCTGTTTTGTTGTTTTACTTTGTTTTGTATTGTTTTACATCACTGGGGGTCAAAACCACGGGCCTCCTGTATAATAGGCATGTGCTGACCTCAGGGCTGCGTTCTCCACACCTGGCATACCAAGGTTTTAAAGTAAATTATGAGACTCAAGTGCTCTTCCCCATGAAAATCATATAAGGGTGATGTCAAAGATAAAGCTGAAGATGAGCTAAAGTGGTGATAACAGATTATAATCAGTAGTAACTATTGCCATAGGAAGAAGGGGGCAACATGACTAAACTCGACCTTGCCTGTACTGAGGGGAATTATTTTTAAAAGGAGGGTAAGTGAGTGGACAGAGGGCAGATGGGAAGCAGGGCCTTAGAAGCATGAAATTCAAAAGTTATAAAGTTGGTCTGTGCAGGTGGGATTGGGCCCACCTTGGGATGGAGGTTGAGGCATGAGCTGAACTCAACTTTCATTTGCACAGATGTGAAGTCATTTTTAAAAAAATAATAAAGAGGGCCGAGGATTTAGCTCAGTGGTTTCGCCGCCTGCTGTGCAAGCACGAGGACCCGAGTTCGATCCCCGGTACCAAAAAAAAAATAAAAATGAAAATAAAGAAGTAAGTGGAGAGAAGGAGGAATGGGGTCTTAGTAGAGTCAGGGAAATAAGAAATTACAAAGGGTTGCATTATATTTTATATCTAGACGTTCCCCCAAAGCCACATACACTCATAAGTGGGGCTTTGGGGAGGTGATTGGATCATGGGAACGTGATATCATTAGTAGATTAGCCGACTGAAAAGTTTATAGCTAAATGTGATGTTGTGAGAGAAGCTTAGTCAAAAGAGGTGGTCGCTGGAGTGTGGCCTGGAGGGGTGTATCTCTCTCCCTTCTCTCTTGATCTCTTTGTGCTTTCTGTCTGCCATGGCATGAGCAGTCTCTCCTGCCGCTCTGCCAAGCCACCCTGTCTTGGAGCCAGCTGACTGTGGACTGAACCATGTACAAACTGTGAGCCAAAGTAAACCTCTCCTCCTTTAACCTGAGGATGTATTTTGTCCCAGCAATTAGGAAAATAAGACAAATGTTAGTACCAAAGAAGTGGGGTCATTGCTGTGATGCTACCTGACCATGTGGTTCAGAAGCTTTTGGAAATGGTTCACGGGAGATGTTTTGAAAGATTTGGAGAGTTCAGCTGGAGAAGCAGCCCTCGAATGCTAAGAACTGAGCTTGACGGAAGATTCTGGTCAGAGCTCAGAAAGGCAAAATGCTGATAGTAACATAGCTGGTAAATACCGGGCATAGGAGGTTTCAGATGGAAACGAGGACTCCATTGCTAGTTGAACTCCAGGTCATGTGCGTTATGCTCTGGCAAAAGGAAAAAAAATCTACATTTTCTTCCTGTCCTGAGACATTGTGAAAGGCTGAGGTTAAGAGCAGCAGACTAATTTATCTGCTGGAGGAAATTTTAGGACAGTCTCACGTTGAGGTGATGGTATGGCTACTGTTGGGGGTGTTTAGCCAGCTCTACTTTGAGAATCAAGAAAAAAGAAAAACAAAAAAAGCGTAGCTGAATGATTTTAAAAGTTTTCAGTTTGGCCAGAAAGGAAGCTTTGGTAAATGTGGGGCCTGCAAAGAAGGAGCAGAGGAAAGCTGGGTTGCTAAAAAGATTAACATTTTTAAAAAGCCAAGTGGATTGCAACAGGATGATAGGAAAAATGCCTTCAGGAACTATGAGCACTCTCTCTGCCATGCCTGCCCTTTGCAGGTGCAAACTTGCAAAGGTTAAAGATTTTGCTTTGAGAACAGAGCCTAGGGCACTCTTTTGGAAAAGGCCGCCTAAAGAATCGACTCCCTGGGATTCGGTTCACCATGCTCAGCCACCCAGCCACTTGAAGGCTGTACAGGCTTGATGCAGAAGGGCTCACCTACTGCTCCAGCGGGCAGAGACCTCGGCGTCAGGCACACAATGCTCTTTCTAGGCACATGCAGAATGCGAGAGTTGTGGCGTCAAGCAGGCTTCCACCAAGATTTCAGACGAAGGCCTGGAAGGCCAGGCAGTGTGCTCCTGAGAGGGCGGGGTGTGAAGCTGTGGGAGTGAAACGAAAAGCACAATTGGAGACCGTAGAATTTTGGAAGAGCCAAGGACATAGAACCTCTGAGGAGAGACACAAAGAAAGAACAAAGCTGGCCCAAGAGGGCGGCCATGTGGGCTACAACCAGCCACAGTGCCATAGGGGTGGGGCCTGTGCAGCTCACGTCATATCACAGCTTGCCCTGGGTGCTGGATATGGAGTTACGGACAGGATGTAATGTTTGCTCTGCTGGGTTTCAGTCTTGCTTTGGTCTCACTATTTTCTACCCCTCTCTTTCTTCCTTTTGTAATGGGAAGGTTCACCCTATGTCTCTGTACACTGGAAGTGTTTAACTTTCCTTTTATTTTTACAGGGGCTCACAAAAGAGTTTGCCTTAAAATCTCAAAGAAGACTTTGCACTTGGGCTTTTCAGCAGTGCTAAACTGTTAGGAGTTTGGCGACTCTTGGAGACGGACTGAATGTATTTTACATAAACAGATGCGCAGGAGTCTTGGGGGCCTGGAACAGAATGTTACCATTTATATCTGGATGTCACTCCAAAGCCCCATGTGCTCAGAGGTGGGGTTTTGGGGGTGATCGGGTCATATGTACAGGATCCTGAGGCCGGGGACTTAGCTCAGTGGCTGAGCTCACAAGCGCAAGGTCCTGAGTTCAATCCCCCGTACCAAAAAAAAGTACATATGTACATGATACTCCTCAGATTGGCCACTGACGAGTTTCTAGATCAATGTTACATTGGGGGGTGAAGTCTGATAGGAGAAGGCAGATCGCTGGGTAGGGGAATGGACTACAAGGGCACATCTCCCTGCCTCCTCTCTTGATCTCTTTGTGCTTCCTGTCTGCCCTGCCATGAGCACTCTCTCTGCCGTGCCACCCTGCCGTGCCACTTGGAGCCAGCCAACTATGGACTAAAACCACTACAAAGCGTGAGCCAAAATAAACCTCTCCTCTTTCAACTTGTAGGCTTGAGGTAATTTGGCCTAGCCACGAGGAAAGTAACTAAGACAGCTGGCCTATGTAAAAGGGCGTGGGTCAGTTGTGTCTGTTTTCACCCTGTTAGGAGACACTGGGAAACAGATCCTGTTCTTCCAGATACTACATGTGAAAGAATGGCCTCCATCTCCCTGCAGAAGATACTCTAGAGTTGAAACAGAAGCATACACATTTCCAAGGAACAGACGAAGGACTCCCAGTCGTAAACCCTTTTCTTGTAAGTCCCTAAGGAACCGTTGGAGTGGGAGGCTATTCTTGGGTGTTACTTGCAGCAATAGATTCTTTTAGCGACTTTGAGTCATTCTTAGAGTGGCAGCCTTGAGTTATTAGAAACTGTTCTTGGCTATTTTAATGTGGTGGAAGGGGACTGAGTAAAATAAATTTTTTAGAAAGTCTGTATGTTTTATAATCTATGGTTAAAACCTACTCTAGAAAATTCAGAGGAGCCAAGCTACAGTCCCCAAAGAGAGAATCATTGTCAGCATCAAAGACAATATAGAATACCGAATTTATTATGAAATCTCATGGACTCTGAATAACCAAAGCAGTCAAAATAAATGAAGTAAGGGATCTCATGCTTTCTGGCTTCAAAATGTATTACAAAGCTTCAGGAATTAAAACAATGTGGTTTTAATAAAGCCAGGTAAAAAACCAATACCCCAGAATGGACACCCCAGGAATAAATCCTCACACACATTCTTAAATGACTGCCACATTTGAAAATATATCATAAAGATGTACACTTAAGAACAATGATTGGCCAGGGATTTAGCTCAGTGGTTCTGATGTGCCTGCCTTGCAAGCACAAGGTCCCGAGTTTGATCCCTGGTACCAAAAAAAAAAAAGAAAAGAAAAGAAGAATGCTTGGGGGTTTTTCCCCTAAGCCATGAATCCAGGACCTCAAGCATACTAGGTAAACACTCTACCAATGAGTTCATTCACACTTTTTTCACATTTTTTGAAAAATTGATAAACTCAGTATACTTCCTCCATGGAAATTTATTTGTGTGTGTGTGTGTGTGTGTGTGTGTGTGTTTTGTAGTACTGGAGATTGAACCCAGGGCAACTACCATTGAGATACATCCACAGGCTTTTTATTTATTTAATTATATTTTTTATTTCGAGACAGAATTTCACTAAGGTTCCCAGGCTGACATTAAACTTGCAACCCTCCTGCCTCATCCTCCTAAGTAGCTAGGATTACATGCACAACTTGCATCACCTCCTACAGACACACATCTTTCAAGGAATCGGTGACCTCCATGAAATACAGGTAAACTCCCTAATCAAGGCTGAATGAGTCTTCTCAAAGCCTTTAGCTAACCTGCAAGTCAACACCCCTTTTTGTGATTATAGTACTACCACTTAGAGGAATTTGTTTACCTTTGTAGTTAAACCGCTGAAACTACAAGTAAAGACACACAGATACTGAACACTGCTTTCATACTACATCACTGTCCAGTTTGGTGTTATAATCTTTCCTTTCTTTCTTTGCTTTTCCTTTTCCTAGTTCTGGAAATTGAGCGAAGAGCCTTGCCCAGGCTCTACCACTGAGCTACACTTGCACTCCGGGGGTCACAACCCTAAATCAAAGCTGGTAAATGCTATTTGCTTGTTGAGGAAAATACCAGGAAAAAAAAACTAAGTCTTCCTGAATCTTTAGAATATCCTTTCCTCACATAATAAACACAGCTAGCTGCCTTACTAAATGTGGCATGGGAGGTTGCTTTATCAACTTATTGGTCCTTTGAAGGAAAAACTAAGACACACCCTAGCATGCGACATACACAAGTTCTGTCCACTTATACTGAGAGTGCACTGCTATTGTGCAGAGAAATTAATTCGTTCCACCTTACCTTCCTTACATAATATATTGAATCATTAAATATGAGCATGTGAGTAGGAACTACTTTAGGGTTTCTTTGCCATTTCTGTAAACAATAATGTAAATAACCATAATGTTGTGAAAATGCCAATGCGTTAAATTTGTAGATTTGCCACATAAAATGCACGATTCCCAGTTAAATTTGAAACGTAAGTAAACCACATCACTGTTTTGTCCATTAGTATCTTAGTAGCATATAGTAACTGTGTATATTCATGGGGTGCGGTGTAAATATGTAGTACATTATACAGTGTGTAATGATCTAGTGAGAATAATTAGCCTTCCCAGTTCCAGAAACAATAATCATTTCTTTGTACTGAGAATTTTCAAACTCCTGTCTTCTAGTTCTTTATGAAATGTATAACAAACTGGTGAAATATAGTCACCCTATTATGCTATAGAATATTATAATTTATTCATTCTAGTTTACTATATTTTGGTACTCTGGCTGCTCCGCTACCTTCCCTAACCTCTAGTGACCACTGCTCTACTCTCTCTTTTTGAGAGATCAACACCTTTGCTTCCACATATGAAATAAGACATGGTATTTGTCTTTCTGCGCTGGGCTACATTCCTATCAAGGGAAGCTGTTGTAGTCTCAGCATCCACATGAATGATATCTTATTTGTACCTATGAAACAGCAAGCTATTGCCATGGTCTTTGTTCCCATGTTGAGGAACCTTTAATAGTCCAGTCATCTGGTGCTATTTTCTTGACCAAAGAGCTAGGCTATTAGGGAAAATCACAAGTCAGTGAAAATGCAGCAGGATGCAATTTTTGGTCTGGATGGCCTGTATAGCCATCACCTCTCCAAGGGGTTTGTCCCGTTGAGCAGAATGCCCATGCTTCATCTCAGTCAGAGACAACGGCAATCACTGGTCATCCCAGCTGACCCCATTGTTCTCAGTGAACATCTCAGATGTCCCTGAATTCTGGGCTCCAAGTAGCCCCAGGAAGAGACAAAGCACACTCTGTGGGTCCCATGTTCTCTTCTGAGAAGCTTACCATTTGTTCATGAAGCACTTGCTTTTGGCCAGGCCACATATTTATGCCCAATTTCCATTTGATAATGCAACTCAGTTACATCTTCCCATTTTTATTAGTGGGATTTGTGAGCACCCAAGTGAGAATGGGAAGTAAGGATTCCAGAGTCACCTGTGATGCTCCCCCCGAGACAACAGTCAGACCTCACCTGTCCAGTGGCAAGCAAGGAGCAGGCCTTCAAAAGAGGCGTGTGTCTGTCAGCTGCCTCGGGTACTTCTATGCACAAGATCGAAGAGCACAGTGTACACTGGGGACCATTCTCCACTGCCACAGATTCCATTCAACATGCATGGTGCTGTGCACCACTGAACTTTCATCAAGGTATCAGTTTTTAAAAGTTTTAAAGACGGTGCCTCAGCTACACCTTGTTCAACAGCTTCCAAAGCCTATTGCTGCAAAGAACTCAGTTGATGTTGCCGGCTTTGCTAGTTACCTTAACTACAGGGCTCAACAGAACACACTGACGGATAAATGCTGTTTTCTAGACCCAACGATGCCTATTAGCTCTTTGCTCCACTTTTTTTTTTCCAGTACCAGGGATTGAACTCAGGACTTTGTGCTTGCCAGACAGGCACAGCACCACTGAGCTACATCCCCGGCTACTCAACTGTTTAATAGTTAGTGCCTCCAGAATTAAAGATTTTTGCTTGGGAATCAGGTGCAATGGCAACTCTCTAAAGTATCAGCTGCTTTCAAGGCTGAGGCAGGAGAATCATTTAATCCCAGGATTTCACGGCCAGTCTGAGAAACAGTGCATCTCAAGAAAACGTTTTTGGGAGAGACTTGAGATACATATTTAGTTTCTTGGCTGAGTGTCTTTGATATCCAGTTGTACCAGAAGCCTTTCTGACCAGCTCAACTGGATAGTTACAGAAACAGTGTGGAATGCAATGTTCTTATATAGCAAGTATGCCTTTGTGTTAATAAAATATAGTCAGCCCTTGTTTCCACTAGCTCTGGGTAGGTGGAGTGCACCAATTATGGATCAAAAATATTCAAAAAAATATTTGCACCTCTGTTGCACATATATGACCCTTTTTGTCATTTTCCCTACATGATACCGTACAACAGTGATTTACATACAATTTACACTGCATTAGGCATTCAAAGTAATCTACAAAGAATCTGAAGCATGGGGAAATGTATATATGCTCTGTGTAAATATTACACCCTTTATTCAAGATTTCAGCTTCTCCCAATTTTCATATTATTGGGTTGTCCTAGATGACTATAGTGAGCTCTTTTCCATGTGATATGTAATGCCTCTTTGGATAAGTGCCCAGCAGGGAGTTAAACAGCTTAGGTGGCAAGCAGAAGTGGAAATGCCCCACTTTCATGACTCATTCCTAGCTGGGAGGGGACACACCACCTCAGTCATTGATGGTATTCTATGGCACAAAGAGTCAAAATTTCAATGCGAAGCACTTGGCAGTTAAAATCACCATAGTCACTGTCATCTTTGATGCCCAAAGGCCCCTCCTACAAATAGATAACCACTATAAGCAAGAAAAACCCAACAGGTTACTGCTTTTATCCTACACTTCCCAATATCTTCCCAGTATCTTTAGTTTTTATTGCCATGTGGATGCCAGGACCCAAGAACCTAATAAAAGTTTGCATTCCATCCCTGCTTTTCTTCTAAGAGAAGGGGAATTGTTATATTGCTCAGGCTGGCCCTGAACTCCTAAGCTCAATGATTCTACTTCGGCAACCTCTAAGTAGCTGGATCTACAGGTATGTGATATTGTACCCAGCACCCCCATCTTGAGAATAGTATAGTCCTGTTGGCCTCAGGTGCTGGCTGGGCATCCTTGGCTCCATTCCTAAGTGTGCTATTCAGTCTGAGCCACTTGGGTCTGCATTTTCCCTTTATCAAATAAACACACCAGCCAGACTGCTTAGAAGTTCTCAGGACTTCCTCTATAAGTGTACTTAAGCTAGCAAGTATTCACATCTGTGGAAGCCAAAATTGCACATTTTGGTTCCACATCAAGCCTCAGGGGCTGTGTGAGTACTCACTTCCCAAACTATGAGACCCTGACAATAAATAATGTGTAAGTTCTCAAAAACCAGGAAGGGTGCACAGTCCGTTTCCATGTCCCTTTCCTTCTGCCTCAGTCTATTAGCAAGAAGCCAAGTCCTGATGCAATGAGAAACCAACCCCTCTCTTCCTTGATCCTCACTTCTTTATGCCCTTGATGAAAGGATTCAGTCAAGACACACAAGCCATGAAGAAACAAAAGTAGCATTTATTATAAAGCATATAAAGCAAGAATCACACTGTCCC